ACATACAGACAACAACAGCGGTGGTTTTGAAGCCGTAATTATTGAAAATGTTTTAATAATAAACAAGGAATTATTAAGGATTTAGTGCAGGTACTTTATTGTTTTTCAAGCTATTCCATGACTGAGAGGAATGAAAACAAATTCCTTTAAAGATAAACTGTAAAACAATTGCAAGAAAGAAGTTTTTGCCTTTTGTATTGTTTATGATGTACAAACACTGCCTTCACTTAAAAGATCCCATTTTTCTTCCTGCCTATAGCTTCTTTAGAAAACCAAGGCTGGGCTTCTTGTCCAATTTTACCCAGAAAAAGAGTCTCAGGCACACTTGGTAGGCAGAGGAGCTCAAGGGCAGGGATCCATGTATCTATTTCTGTTATTTTGTGATCTCCCAGAGAAGTGAAATTAATTCCCCTGGCCAACCCAACATGAGAATGAGGACATTTTTCGTATTTATTACTGCCTATGGTATACTGAGCAAGCACTAGGCGTGTGTCCATGTCTATTCTCCTTTGTTTCAATATTGTCTGTTGAGAGATGATGGACAGGAGTCACTTTTCATAACTGATTTGTTTCCATGGAATGCTGTAGAGTGTAGATGAAGGAGAAAACCAATGTACTGTTGAAACCAACCAATGTACTTTAAAAAAAATCCCATCAGGGCAATACTAGAAATCCCTCCAGTACGGTGTGGCTGTCGGAGGCCAGTTTGCAGTGTTTTGTATGAGCAATCTCTATATATGTGCATTTGTGATCCTTGGAGAGTGGGGAAGAAAAGGGAGGAGAAATTAGGAAAAGCAAAAGGGGAAGAAGTAAAGGCACAGCAAGATGTTAGCTATCATCCTCTAGAAACGGTGAGGTTCAGCTTAAATCCCAGCTAAGTTGTGCATGATCACAGTACTTGGCTGAGGTTTTCTCTTGTGAATTGCTGCTGACTACTTTGGCCCTTCACAGAATTAATCCTCAGATAAAATTAGAAGCTGGCACCATTTTTCAGCCTATACTACTAAAAATACATTGCATTGATCCTCTCTCTGTACTTTGGCATGCACGGGAGCAGAAAAAAGAGTGGGAAGCTATTGAAACCGAGGCATAACATGTTCTGAAGTTGGACTTCTTCAGCGGTGATCAGCTCTGCAGCTCTTAAGGATGCCTGGGAACAAAACGGATTTGGAATAGGAGTTTTGTGTGGCTCAGTGTGTAAGAGCAGCTCCACAGACATTATCTGTCCTTCAGAAGTGGAAAGTGTGCGTACATCAGTTATCTGAGAAATCTACTAACTTTTGTCTGGCATTTGCGTTGTCTTATTGCTGTGGTAAATGCACAAAGTTGCAAATGGCAACACAGGGTCATAGGGATGAAGAGCCAATTTGCAGGTGTTCTCAGCTCTGCTCGATTTTGTGATGCAAGGGAGAAGGCAGAAAAAAATGTTTATTAATTGAATCATATCTTCTATTGCTTTACCTAACATGAACTTTGTCTAATACGACTATGTAGCTCATCTAAAGGCTTGCAAATTGAAACTTCTAGCGAGAAGAATGCCTTTGATGTCATTCCCATAGAAGGTGTTGCTTGCTGCATTTGAAGGGAAGTTAGCAACTGTACATGCTATTTAATGGAAACCTTATGGAGTAACACCTGGGACCTGGATGTGGCTAGATGATCACTGCACAAACAGCTGTTCCCCCTTCCACCACTTGTGCCCAGTGCTGTTTGTTACTAACCCTTGGCCAGACTTTGGCATTCCCCTAGTGTAGCGGCATGATTTGTCTGAGCGCTCTTCTTGTGATTCAGTGCAAAGTCCAGAAGAATGGTTCAAATAATTATTTGTAGTGCCTGACTTACTGCTTAAGCAGACAAGGTTCATTTGCAGGGCCTGCAGTACCTGTTCTGCTTGAGGGTGCTAACAAGCAGCTGGTGAGGGAGAGGAGCAGGGTACAGAAGTTTGTTAATAATTATCTGAGCACAGTCCATTGATAAATCATTTAATGTTCAGCAAAAGACTTCTGGATCCATCTGTGGTAGTGGAAGATGCTTTTACGTTGTTTCTCATTGCTGTCCTCCTGCCATACTGGTCTGTTGGAAGAGCCCTCATGGCAGGCATGCTCCTGGAGTTTTAGGCACAATTAGCCAAATAGCAGTAGTTGCAACCCTTTAACTGGACTGATGTTCTGGCTTGCACAGATAAGGAAGAACTTGCATGCACTCCTCTGCAGAGAGACCTGTGAGGGCAATTATTTCCTGGATGAGCTGAATTCAGAACAGGATTAAGAGTTAGTGCAGGTACAAGTTTGCACAGGTGGTGTTGTGCCAATACAACTCTCTTTGTGATATTCTGCTTTTATTCGTAGTACCTTATAGTAATTGAAACACATTCCTGATAAACAAAAACTTAAGTTGTAAGTTTAAACTGAGTGTCCATATATTATTTTGTTCCCATATATTCTTTTGTTTCGTGGGGAACTAAATCAGTAAGTACCCAACTAAATCAGTAAGTACCACTTGATAAGCAATAAGCTAATGGAATTTGGTTTAAGTACTAGGGTTTTTTTGTTTTTAAATAGGATTTCTAGTTGGAGTGATCAAATAAGAAGACAAAAGTGGAAAATATTCCACCTTACTGTTATTTTTTTGTAACTATTTGATAAGTTATCAAATACCACAAAAATAGCTGTTGACTGACTTGACTAAGAACTGTTAATTAAACTAACATTTTAAGTAAAAGTTATTTATGTAGCTCTGATTCCTGGATCTCTTCTGTTGTCCCCGCTTTGCTTTCTTCATTTTATCTTTTTCTTTCCTACAGGAGAATATAGCATATACCTCTGCATCATTTTCAGTTCCTTTCTCTTTTCACCTCCTATCTCTTTCATTTTCTCCCCACTCTTCTTCACCTCCACCCCTGCATCTTCTGTTTCTCCTTTCTTCTGCCACTTCTTGTCTGTTTACTGAACTTCTCTTTTCAAATTCATCTTATCAGCGTCTCTCTGCCTCACATGACCATCGCTCACCCACTCAAGCCACAGCATCTGTGCCCAGTCTTGGAAACACTCGGGTACTGAAAACCTAGAGAGCTACTGCATTGGCATGAATATAAGGCAGGAAGAAAAATATTCACAAGCATGTATTAGAACAGCCCCTGCTCTGGCCTTGCAACCTGTTTTGCATCATCTCTGCATGCTCCCTGACCGTGCATTGTCTGCTTTCCAGACTTCTCTCTCTTCAAGCATTATATATGAAGCTTGTAGTTACCTGGGACGTGGTCCAGTCCTGCCGCCAGTGCCAGCCAGCCTGCCTGACAGCTACCTGGCCTGCTGCAGGTGCTCCAGCTGCCTTTGGCCACCGGGCACCATCCCTGGGGCTCTGGAAAGGGAAACACAGTATGTCTGTAATTGAAACACAGGCTAGTTAAAACAAAGACTAGCTGTCTTTTCAGAGTAGTTCCTGTAAAAATAAATAGATAAATGTCTCTATATTTTACTTAGGCTACTCTGGTAAAAATTGCTGGCTTCAGATGAATCAATACAGAACAAGTAGATTTTGGTCAGCATTATCGCTGCTGTCTACCAAGTTTCTGGAAAAGGGACAGGTGTTAAAAATCCTGCCATGTTGTTCAAAGATTTGGGCTTTTTTCCCATTTAGTGAGTTTGAGGATTGTGCCACTCCTCCAAAGCAAGTTCTTGTTTCAGACTTCCCCTTTTTTCAGTTTTATTTTGTATAGGTCATAAAGGATTTCTGATGCAGGCTTCCTTAATGGATTTTTTTCTATAGTGTTCCACTTAAAAAACTATAAGTTGATCTCTGTGTGCAAACAATGCCTTTGATGCAGCATGTAAGCTGTTTTTTATGGCAGACATATTTTGCCATGCAAGGCATAAAATAAAAACCTAAATTACTTTGTGTCATTCAGCTGGTTCCATAAGGCTTCTGTTGCAAATTCATGGATAGATGGATCATTTCACTTCTGAATAAGTTATGTAATTGGAAAAGTTAATTTTATTTCAGAATTAAAAGCTAATGAATGGCTAAAAGTTTCTATCTATAAAATACATTATTATTATTATTATTTAGAACAAGGCAATACTGGTATGAATTAACAATGTTAACAGATTATAAATAATTTTGTTTAGAAATTAAATATTACTTTAACTAAAAGGTAAAGCTTATATTTGGCAAAATGATCTGATGCCATAGCAACAGATGACAATTACAAGCAGCTTCCAGGAGTTGCCCACATTCCTTCTCCCTCATCCCAGCCAATCCATATCCGTGGTGCAAGAGATGAGTTCTGACCTCTGTTTTGTAACCTTTCTTGTAAGAAACATATCCCCCTTCTTGCAAAGTAAGAAGCTCCAGCTCTAGATCACTTGAAAGAAAACCAAAAGCAAATCCATGTGGTGGACATGCTACCTGCTTGTGTACTGTTGTTGGAAGATTGGTTTTGCCTCAAACTGTATTTCAGATCAGACTGACATAATATGGACTCTCCAAAGAATGTGCTACATCCAACTTCTCTCTTGAAGTGAAATAACAAAAAGCATTTAACTCCTTAATAATTTAAGGACAAGTCTGCTGGAACCATAAAAAGTGAAAAGTGTTGTGTGTGTTTTAACTTGTTAATTAAAGAAGCAATAATTGGAGTCTTAAAAGAATCAACTGAAATCTAATGTTATACACTTGAGCTATGTTGTCTTGTAATTTCCAGCACTATTTGCTGAATTCTTCACATACTTTTCCTCTAATCAGTCTGTAATTACCATGTGATATAATTAGATTAATGGGTAGCTGCAATAAATGGGAGTCTATTAAAGGGAAATTTTGTACTTCTGCCTTTATATTTGTCCTATATGAATGACTACAGAATTCTGTACTTTCATTAAAGCAGCCACAACTTAGATGAAGAGCAATCAATTTAATGATGCATGGAATCTTTAATTCTCTTTGAAAGTTTCTCTAGTGCTTAACTTTTTTTTTCTTTTTTTTTTTTCTTCTTAGATGATGAGTACCAATGGAACGGGCCCTTTTACTTCATCCAAGGAGCAGACCCTCAGTTTGGACTGATGAAAGCTTGGGCAGTTGGAGACACTAACAATGGAGATGACGAATGGGGAGAAGAAATCAAATTAGCAGAGCAAGCAGTGCAGGCCATTAACAAACTAAACCCTAAACCCAAGTTCTTTGTATTGTGCGGAGACCTTATCCATGGAATGCCAGGTAAGGCAATTGAAAGTGTAGAATGGGGATTGTAATTCCATTTTCTTTATATTTCAGATTGGCAACAAGGATAATTTAATTTCCTTGATTTCTCAATATTTTTTCGTAGGATTTGTTATGCTACTGTTTTGGAGTTTGGGAAAAATGTGTGCTTTATAGATGATTCCTGAGATTCTGATTTCTTCATGTGACTTCCTGTATCATTCATTTTGTGGGTGTACTTTTGTTGATTGCTTTCTTTTCAGTGGGCCTGAGGAAATTTTCTTTGAAATAAAAGTCCTAAGAACACACATTAAAATTCTTTCGTCTAAACAAATTGCTTTGAGAAATAGGGACGCTAGCCATTGGGGGAGAACAATGACAAGAAAAGAACAAAAAATATCTGTGGCTTTTTGAGTACCTAAAGTGGGTGAAGCTCAGAGAATTCTCTGGCTTTCTAATGCTTAGTAAATTCAACTGTTTCAATATTTAAATTCTTAAAATGCTACAAGTCAGCAAATTCAAGTTTTAGCATTCTGTACTGTTGTTGTGGGACTTGGAGATCGGTGTGTTTCTGTGTACAGTCAGAGGAGGAACAACAGACCATCTGGAAAGGTGGGCTCCAAAGTTTGACAGTTATAACTTTAAAACATATGGGTAAGATTTTCTATTTTAAGAGATAAATACTCTTCTTGGAAGTGAAAGAAAAAAAAAGTTATGTTACCAGTTCACAAGTGGTCTGAAAAGCAGATCTAAGCACAGTGTCTTGCATTTCTTAGCCTTGCTAAGAAGCAGAGCTGCAGACAGCCTTAGCTGTGTAGTTTACAGCACAACAATGCACCAAGTGAGCTTGCAAAGAGAGTCCTGTGTGCTTTATGCTACGCTTTGCACTCCACTTGCACCTGAGGTGGTGCTTTCCAGCTCTTGTTTGCACAGCAAGGTTTTGAGCATGATAAAGACCTTTCACTATTTTCTTCAGTGTCCTGCAAAGTAGATTTTAAAACCTTACCTGTCAAATTGACAAGTTAAATTGATTGATGTTATTTATAGGCTACAGGCTTTCTTTTGACCAGAACACTATTTTAGTGATAGAATGGAAAAGTGTAAAAGCTTGATCAGATCTACTGTGTAGCATCTCAGTAGCTTGTTCATAATGTCAGGTCTGTCCTTATGCAGTACTTTTATTGCTTTATGTTCTTCTATTAATTTTGGAAATACAGGTCTAACTGCAAATCATAAAATAATCTCTTCCTAAGAATCATCTGGCCTTCCTATAGCAGAGTCTTATTAAGTATTTTGTTTAGGACTTTTAATTTGTTTAAGTGTTTCAAATATGTTATATTCAGTATCCCTTGTAAAAGGAAGAAAATTCAGGGCAAATAATAGGTGTTCTACATCCTGTTGAAAAGGATCTTTCACTCACAGATTTAAATAATCGAGGAAGCTAAGTTAATTTCATTTTACCTGGATATCTCTCAAAGGCTTATAAAATAATGCAAAGTTCTGAGTCCTTTTGTCTATATTGACTTTAAACAATGTTATTCTAAGGCTTTTCTGTTGATAGAGAGTAGGTGCGAACCACAGAGAGACAGCAGTCTTCTGGCTTCCTCCAAGTACTGAATGGCTACATACAATAAATAAGTCTTGCATGTGGCAGTTTTGTTTTGTTTTGTTTTTTTTCTAGTAATTGATCTCTGTGTTATTGTCTCTTTTACTAGTGTAAGTCTCAGATTTCGGTAATATTTTCAATACAAAGCTGACAGGCTTTTGGGAAACATTATCATATATTCATTTTGCTAACAAACATGTAAAACAAACTGAACAGGTTGTACCACAGAGATCGTTTACATTGCCTGATGTATGTTCTGTGCTTTGTATAAATATTTGAAGCTGCCCAGTGCAATTTCCAAGAAATTGCAAGAAAAAGCAGTTCATTATTCAATGATCTTAAGGGTCTTTTCTAGCCTAAATGATTCTATGATTACCTCACTTGAGCCACCCTATTTTGATTTATCTAATAATTTCTTGCTAATTGAAATTATGTTAGTGCCTTGCAAGGCTGTGTTATCATGTAGTTATATAAAATAGTTAAGGAATGTACTACTAAAAGGAATTTTAGAGTATTCGACGGGAACAATTACTTCACTACTGCCTTTGTATTTATACAAATGGCTTGCTGTGCCATGAGTTAGTAAACATATATGTAAGTACAATTTAACAATTAAATTGTACGTATAAGTACAATTCTACAGTTAGCCATTTGTCTGTCTAAACTGATGAGAGAGATAAAAGTGAATTGCTCTACAGTGCAGATATCTGTGGATTAACACTCTTAGATTAGTTGCCTAGAAGGGCAGGGAAGTGTGTGATACAGCAAGGCAGACAGAAATGCAGTGTCAGAAAAATACTTCAAAGAAGATAAATCTAAATCTACATGTTTAAAAGAGTTTGAAACACCACTTTAGTCTAAACTGTATGAATGTGTATTTTGGAAGTGAAATAATGGGTTTTTCAAAGGATCTTTTCCTGTCTTTTCCTCTCGCTTAGTTAGCTTCTGGAATAGAAACTCCTTCAAAACAAAACAAAACAAAAAAACAAAAAAAAAAAAAAAAAGAAGACTTGAAGAAAATATTTTAAAGCAAGACAACTCACATCCTGTTTTAAAAATGTCTTATCAAGATACGTGTTGACAATTTCATTTGAGTTGTTAACTGTTCCTGTATGAGACATTGCAGGACATTGGCATTAAGAAGCCAAGATTGTGGCCTTATAAGAACTTACTTGCTGCATATTCTTTTATCAAAATAGAAATCCTCTGGTTTTAGAAACGAAAACTTGCCACATTCTTTGCAGTGAACGTTTTTGGAAAACTTGGAAGTGCTGCAGTCACATTCTCAAGTTTTCTGCCACATTCCATGCTAAACTCTAGGGATTGAGGTGACTTTCTTCTCATGGAGGAATGAATTAGTAAATTTCTTCTCTGACACGGGTATGTGTTTGAACTGCTACTGTATTTCTGCACCAGTTATTACTCAGATAAAAGCAGGAGCCATTATATTCCACTGTCATATGCAGCACAAGTCTCTCTCCACAATTTCCAGTACTAATACTGTGCTTGAGATTTCATACTTCTTTACATAATCCATTTAAACAGTTCTAACTTAAAGAAAACAATGAGATAAAAAGCCATCAGCAACTGATTAAACTCTTTAAAAAATTTAGAAAGGGTTCAATTTCAAAATTACAGAAGTAATATTGAAGTTTGCCAGCACTTTCATTATTTGTTACAACAAAAATTTGAAATTGTAGGAAATCTTTCGGCAATACTGCATTAATGAAAAAGATCAAACAGAGAATCTAAGGATTTTTATAGCAAATAGCTTTTCAGATAACTTAAACATATAAATGTTTGCAGAATTGAAGACCAGTAGTTTCCTGGAGTAATTTAAGTATTTTCACTGTTCTAGGCAAGGATGTTTAGACCTATGTAATGCATGTCTGTAGTAGAATGGTACTGCAGCCATTTCATACGTCTCCACTGAGGAGTCTCTCCAAGAATAATTGCTGTGTCAGTTCCCTTATCACATTGGTTCAATAAAATGAAGTATTAAAAATTCATTTTTTCAGTAGGCAAAAATCAGAAATTACATGAGACAAAACATTGATTTAAGTTTAAGAATTGTGAATTTGGCTTGTACATTACATGTATATTATGTCTCAAATTGCCTCTTAAATCACTTGTGTATATCACCGTATTAAAACTGAAAACATCGGTGTTAATGAAAATGTAGCGTAGTGGTTATTGACGAAAGCTATAATCAGCCAAGTTCAGCTGTATTTTACAATCCATTGGCCAATATCTATCAAATTCCTTGGATTATACTGCTTTAGAATCAATGCCTGTCAATAAAAAGGGGGTGAAAAAAACCCCCAGGTCCTCCTCTCTTAATGTTTTATCATGGATTACTAAGTGTAAAGTTTATTATGACTGTTTTAAAGCATGCAGTGTAGCTGCTTAGCTGAAGCAATGTTGAAACCTTTTGCAAAGGAACTCCAAGAAATCTCAGAATTCCAGCAGCTAGAAGTGATGAACAGAATCCTGATCAGCTGGGAAGCAATCAGGCACAGCACTTGGAATCCATTACAGATGTCATTAGAGCAACGAAGTAATCAGTGCCAGTATCTTGGTATTTAGCTGCTGATTAAAAGTAGTTTGTACTATGAATATTATTTTCACAAGGTTTTTTTTTTTATTATATAATCAAGAATAGGATATCTATTCTTGGTAACACTAATATTGTCATACATAATCAAGAATTTTAAGCAATACTTTATAGTGCAACTGTGTTAGTGAACATAATTCCTGTAAGCTCAATACTTACACCAAGATACACCATGATAATGAAAGACATATTTCTGAAGACATTTGTGTGCATTAAATTAGTGTTCCATAGCTTAGTATGGCAAAAATGGTAACCTGCAAAATGCAAAGTATTGTTGTTTGGATAATGTGTGTTTCACTGCATTTTTCTAAAATTATGGAAATTTATTTCTAGAAGCGTGTTTTTCTCATATCAAGTTGGAACCTTCTGTTTTGTTTTATGACATCTTCCCATATTGTTCCACCAACCAATAACCTTTGAGCCCAACAGTCCAGCCAGTTTTACATCCATCTAGTTCTCCACTCATCTAGACTGCAACATTCTAACTCCACAACCTTTTGATGATTATAGAGAGGTGCCTCACAGTGACATAGTCAGCTCCCTCAGTACTCTTGGATGCATCCCACCAGGTCCCATGGACTTGCTTGTGTTGAAATTTATCAGGAGATAGCGTGACCAGCAGGTCAAGGGACGTGATTCTCCCCCTCTACTCTGCTCTTCTGAGACCCCTCCTGCAGTGCTGCATCCAGCTCTGGAGTCCTCAGCACAGGAAGGACATGGACCTGTTGGAGTGGGTCCAGAGGAGGCCATGAAGATGATCAGAGGGCTGGAGCACCTCCTGTATGAGGACAGGCTGAG